AACTGTATATCAAATCAGATGAAAACAGCAGTAAAATAATTTTATCCTTGTTTTTATTCTTGTTTATAGAAATAAATATGTGTTTGCGCAAAAACTTATCACACATGCTATACATTCGTATCATTTATAAAACATTACTTCGATGAGTACAAACTTTTACATCAATTGAAAAGACGTTTTATGAATTTCTTTTTTAACAAATAATGAGCAGAACTTTTTCGATTAAGTAGCTCACAACAAATTAGTCTAATTTAAATTTAGTTCGAATAATATGGAAATGTATCTTTCGTAATCGGAAACGCATGATAGTACAAAGTACGCACAGAGTTGTAATAAAAATATTTTATACAATATTACATAAATAAATAAAATACTTTAACCCTTTCTTGTTTAGACAAAGTAAAGTAATCTCGTTTATACAAACGAAAATGTCTAATAATAAACAAAACCGTAATACTTTCAAGTGTTTTTGAAACCACGGGGTGGTGCCTGGTATATAACCAAATGCGAGAGCTGCTTTGGAGTATTAACTTATGGAACAGAAATAACAGCTTTCTCTCTCCCTTTTCCCTCCCAAAGGAACTAAAATAAGCCACGAAATGCAGGATTGTCTGCAACATATGTAGCCGGCTATACACTTGACAGAGTGCTTTTCGCGTTAGAAATTTTGAGCGAATATACAGCGTGAGATCAGAATTTGAAATTAATATATTATTTCCACTGTTATCAAATGGTTTATTTGGTATGAATTTATAACTCTTTAAACAGACTTCTCAGATTTGAAACTCAAGAAAGATAGAACATCGCTGAATTATATTTCATATTATTTTTCATATATTTGAATCGCACAAATGACAAATGACTTTTGTAACTATGTCAGCATGAAGATATTTTTTTTTAAATGCACTTCCGAGAGTGCAACAATAGTAGATAGTAGTTTAGAGTAGATAATATGTAATTGTGAAAAAAAAAAATATTTATTAGAATTTATTCAACTGCATCAAAAGAAGAATGATATATGTAATGTGAATAAGTGACAAATTAATTAATCAAATAAATAAATAAAGAAGAAATATTTGTTTACTATTGCATAAACACATATAAATAAATGAAATAAATAAAACAATCTAAAGGAAAGCACAATTAATTTTTTAAATTTTTGTAAAGTACGATTTGTGATTATATTGAATGAAATAATTCGCAAATGTGATGTTAAATTTTGTATCGTTGACAAGTGTGATGACGATTAAATTTTGACGATTGAATAAGTTACATATACTTTTCACATATACACACTCGAAAAGATATTTAGAGTTGGAGGAAATCAACATAAACCATTGTCCTGCCAAGCTAACCAAGAGAATAGTACCTGAAAGCTCGTTACCATAGCCCTTTATAAGTGCCGCAAGCAAAGTACTGTTATAACCGTAAATCGAACAGAAAGACATTAAATTTTCGTGACTCGTGAGTATATAATAACACATTTTGTAATATAATTATAAATGCTTGTGCTGTTTAAATCACTATTTACATAAAATATACTGCGAAGATATCGCTTGATTGCTTAGTATTAAATGATTGAAAGAATAAATAAAAGTTGTAAAATGCAGCTTTCAAATTTACATTAGGCATATACCCGCGTATATCACATATATGTACATTAAATACATGTATGTAAATACACACACATATATATGTATATATATATATATATATCTGTCGTTT